CTGCATTTGCAGTAAGAAATATAACTTGGAGAAAGCATCTTGATTAAATTAAATCACTAAAATCTGCAGTGCAATTCAGTTTTGAGCTTAAGTTAAAAGAAGTAATCCATAAGTTTATGACATGCACCAATGACATTTAACAATTACCATCAATACTTGGCCTCAATATTTGCTTTCTTTCATTTACATCATTTTCTTTTTTATGTAATTTCTTGGCTTCTGGTGGCTCTGACCTTAATCTTAAATCCAGGAATGCTAGTTTATTTTATTTCATTTTTTTATTATTAGTATGTTTGCTGTACGTAAATATTACATTCCTCATGGGGAATTGGTACATGTTAACATTTAAATTCATTTCATTCCCCTTCCCCCTCACTCCTTCATCTCTTGGTCCCTTTCTCATTTGCAGAAGACTTAATCCCTGCTTCCTATTACCTGTTTGTTTGTTTTTAACTTTTTTTTTTAAGAGAATAATAGGGCCGGCCAAATAGCTCAGCGGATTAAAGTGAGCGAGACTGGGCATGGAGACTGGGCATGGTGGTGCCCACCTGTAATCCCAGCACTTGGGAGGCTGTCAACAGGAGAATCACTACTAGTCCGATCTAGTAGGGAGACTCTAAGCACCCTGTAGGCCCTTCCCCAAAATACAGAAAAAAGAAATAAAAAAAGAAGAGAATAATAGTAAAAAAAATTAGGAACAATACAAAATTTCACTAAACAAAATGATAGAAATTCAACAATGGTTGCCATATTACATATTGTTGTCTTCAAATTAGTTCAGATTGCCAGATATAAGCTGCAAAATTGGTCAAAAAAAGTTACAAAAAATTAAAAAGGAAAGAGAAAGAAAAAACTTAAGCATTAACTGCTCTTTCCTTCCTTTTTTTTTTTTGGTGGAACCGAGGATTGAATTTTGGCCCCTGCACTTGCCAGGGAAGCGCTTATTCCACTGAGCGATCTCCCCGGCCCCTGCTGCTTTCAGTAGACCAGCAGAAGTCAGCAGTTTATTTTTTTTCTTGAAATAAGGTCTTGCTTTGTAGTTCAGGCTGGCTCTGAATTCACTATGTAGTCCAGGCAGGCCTTAAACGTGTAACAGTCCTCCTGCCTCAGCCTTCTGAGTGCTAGGATTACAGGCGTATACTGCCATACCAGCATAATTGGCCTTTCCTTATTGGCCGGAGATATTGAGCATCTTTTCACAAATTTATTGACCATTTGTACTTATTCTCCTGAAAATTATTTGTTCATTTCAGTTGCTCATTTTTTGATGTTTAGGATTCTTAATTGTGTTCTTTACATATTCTAGATATTAGTTCTCTAAAGAATAACTGACAAAACTTTCTCATTGTCTTTCACTCAGTTGTTTGTTTTTTCCCTGTGCAGGTTTTAAACTCGATGTCCCTTTTGTTCATTGTGTAATTTCTTGTACAGTTAGCATTCTGTTCAGAAAGTCTTTGCTGGTAATATGAATAACTGGTTAGAAGACAGCACTATGTATTACAACAAATAACTGAAATTCATATTACTTTAAGTGAAAATCTGTATCACTTGTAATTTTTTGTTTTAATTCTAATTTGTACTCTCTTTAAAAGTAAGTAAATAAGCAAGTCCTTGCCTACTCCTATGTTATTAAGAGTTTTATCTATTTCATCTTCTAGCAGTTTTTTTTTTATTGTTTTGTTTTTTATTTGTTTTTGTTTTTGTTTTTGTTTTCTGAACCAGGGATTGAACTCAGGTCCTTGTGCTTGCCAGGCAAGCGCTTATTCTACTGAGCCATCTTCTCAGTCCTGTAGCAGGTTGTTTTAATATTTAGACCTTTGAGCCATTTTGACTTTAGTTTAATTTATGGTGTGAGATTATGAGTCTAGACTCAGTCTTTTGCATGTATATAGCCAGTTTTAGGAATGCTAGCTTTAAAGGAAAGGTCTTTTTTTTTCTTTTTCTTTTTTTGGCAGAACCGGGGATTGACCTCAGACCCTTGCGCTTGCCAGGGAAGCACTTATTCCACTGAGCCATCTCCCTGGCCCCAAGGAAAGGTCTTAATTAACCTAAACAATCAACATAGTGACCTCATTTATATGTTGTGGAGAATGGTTCCAGACTCCCGGCTCATATGATCCTCCTATCTCAGCCTCAATAGTAGGTGTAATGTTATTCTTATAGAATGAATTGGGGGCCTGGGAGATGGCTCAGTGGACTAAGTGCTTCCCTGGCAAGCACAAGGGCCTGAGTTCAATCCCCAGTTCCACCAAAAAAAAAAAAAGTAGAATGAATTAGGAAGTATTAGCTGCTCTTAAAGTTTTTGGACTAATTTATATAAAATCAGTATTATTTCTTCCTAAAGTGTTTACTAGAATTCACCAATGAAATGGCTTGGTCTGGGAAGGTTTTTAATATAAATTTATTTTCTTTAATTGACTTAGAACTATTTAATGTTTCTTTCTGCATGTTTGGTAATGTTTTTAAAATTATTTGTTTCATTTAGTTGTGAAATTTCTTTTAATGCCTCTGGGATCTGTGATGATACCTACGTCTGTGCACAATCAACTGAACCCAACCCAGGGCCCGCACCCTTTTTTATATTTTGTTTTGAGAAGTGGTCTCATTAAGTTGCTAAGTTGTGTGAGCTGGGCTCAAAGCAGCAATCTTCCTCATCTTCCCAGTTTTCTTTTTTTCTTGAGTTAGCTTTTTTTTTTTTTTTAAGCTGGGCAGAACAGTACATGACTGTAATACCAGTACTTGTGAGGCTGAGGCAGAAACATCTCTAATATGAGGCTATCCTAGGCTATATAATAACAAAACTGTGTCTTAATGTTTTGTAAAAAAAATTTTTTGTAGCTGAGAGTTATGGTGTGCAACTGCAATCCCAGCACTTGGGAGGCTGAGGCAGAAGGATCATTACAAGTTCAAGGCTAACCTGGGCTACATAGGGACTTCAAGGACAGCCTGAAATATATAGCAAAGTTCTATCTCAAACTTTTTTTTCAATCTTTTTTTTTTTTTTTTT